AAAGCTTGTGCCCTGTGCATCCTGTATATCTAATATACAGGACACACAGGATACAAACTATTAACCCGGACACAAGACAGTAGCTACCACAATTTCAGATAATACAGTCATTGGCACTAGAACTCATAACATAATTAGGATACAATTCTATCCTGCTGTTATTCTCAGAACACAAGTGAGCACTACCACTGTTTACAGGATGCAATACCAAGATTGGACCATGTGCCCTGGGTCACATATATAGATTCTGAAACCTTTCAAAGAAATAATATTTCTAGTCATATTGGTTCTATGATACAGAGTACAGAAAAGAAAATCCCCTTGACCCTATACTGTAAATCCAGTCCAAACTACTTCCCTCACAGATGCTAACTCCACCAATATTAGCACCCAATAGACATTTAAGATACTATTGAAAGGCTGGTACGAAGTAGAACCTGGGTGCCCAGTATGGACTGCCGTACTTAAGGGACCCTCATGGAATCTGGTATCAAGGTCAGCATTTTGCTAAAACTCTACTAGTGTAAATACTACTCCCATAACAGGCTATAACTCTACCAATATTAGTATCAGGTAGATGTTCAGTATACTATTGAAAGGCTAGAATCAAGTGGAACCAGGATTTTGAGTATCAGCTACTGCATCTAAGAGATGCCTGTAGAATCTGGCATTAAATTTGGTACTTTATCAGAGTAAATACTACTCCCATAATAGGCTGCAACTCTACCAATATTGGTGTCAGATAGATGTTCAGTACACCGTTGCAAGGCTAGCATCAAGTAAAATCAGTATGCCAAGTGTCAACTACTATGTCCAAGGAATAGATATAAAATATGGTATCAAAGTTAGTACTCTATCAAAATTCTACCAAGGTAAGGACCAATTGCAGAATAGGCTATAACTCCACTAATATTAGTATCAAATAGATGTTCAACATAGCATTAGAATTCTAGCATCAAGTAAGATCAGGACACTGAGTATCAGATGCTATACCCAAAGGCTGCCTAAGGAATCTGATATCAAAGTTAGTACTGTGTCTAAAGTTCTTTATGGTAAAGACCACTTTCATAATAGGCTGTAACTCTACCAATATTGGTTCCAGCTAGACATTCAATACGCCATTGGAAAGATGGTATCAGGTAGTACCAGGGTACTGAGTCTCAAATGCTGCGCCAAAAGGTTGTCTCTGAAGTCTAGTGTCAAACTTAGTATTCCGTTAGAACCTTACTAGGATAAATACTACTTTCATAGTAGGCTGTAACTCCACAAATATGAATACAGGATAGACATTCAACACACTACTGAAAAGCCTGCATTAAGTAGGACTAGGATGCCAAGTATCTGCTACTGCACAGAAAGGGAACCTAAGAAATCTTATGTCAAAGTAAAGATTTAACTTGAACCTCACTAACTGGCAAAGCAGGTAAAAGAAACTATAAAGTTCAGAATCCAGGATAGTACTAGGTGGGGAGCTGGTAGAGGAAGAGCTGGCTGAGAGGTGGTAAGGGGGAAGCAGCTGGTAGTAGTCTTTATCACTCAGAATTTCAGGATGGTAACTACGTGGTATCACTTACTTACTTAGAATATAATCTAGACATAGTACTTTCTAACCTAAGCTCCAGGATGTACAAGATGCAACTAGACTTGGCACCCAAGTACCAGACATACAGGATGCAACTGGACTTGGTACCCAAGTACCAGATGCACAGGATGCACTGGATATAGTATCCTCCCTACTTGCATCAGGACGTACTGCCCATACCTCTGACACAGGAATAACTTTCTGATGGAGCTCCTTAACTTGTCTCTGCCAGTTGAACAACCTCCCAACTGATACTAATCTTGATACTTGCATCAATTTTGTATCTCCTTCAACTTTCTTTCTATGTCTTGAAGTGTAAAAATCTCTAGTTCCAGCATGACTTCCCAATCTAGATAGAGAGATGCTCTTTTTCTTCTTCCTATTTCACTGCTAATCATGTAAATAAAATAGTACATTGCACTTCATGATCTTTGACCACCTAATAATTGGTAACTATTTCTGAATCTGATTTATTTGCAGATCCGAAACTATCTTATTACTCTTGATTTTCTTGTACACCAATCCCCATATTTTCATTCTACCAGAGCTATTAGATTATGCTAATTAGTCTTATTATTTTTACTGAATTTACTAATAAATCCCGATTTTAGCAAGATATGAAAAGAGAACTTGCTATTATTATACTATTCAATTTGATCCCCTGTCTTATGAATCTCAATCTCTAATTCATCTTCTTTATTACTATCAAATATTGAATCATCTGTACGACTTTCTCTCCTACCATTATATTTTTCCTCTTCAGATCTGGATTCTATATAAATCTATCGTGCCTTCACCTTCTCTGAAGCTGGTAGAGCTTCTTGTTGTTTTCATCCAAATATTCCTTCTAGATCTCTGAATTATCAGACTGGTAACTGATATCCTGTATTTTATCACTCTTACTTCCTATTGTCAGCTCTCTTTGACATTTGTTAGGGGGTAATCAATTCTGTAAGTACCATCTTTGCTGTACTTACTAAGCATTTAGGTTTTACATCCTCTTCCACTTTACTGATAGTTATATCATGTTTGTAGTTTGCATTGATATTTTAATTTTCGTAAACAATCTGATTTATTCATTTAAGAATTATAGAACTCTACTTTTCAAACCTTAACAATTTAAGAAATGCCCCAACTATTATATATTTTTCAAAATTATATTAGAGCTACTTATGATAACCATTAATATTACCTCTAAGTTTGTAGAAATTAACTCATATCTAAATGATATTTTCCTATTTGTATGTTCTATTGACTATTTTTTTGACATTTTTCAAAACTTTATACCACTTTAGGAATATGAAACATCAAGATCCCAGCTCATAGACTATGTAGCTATACATACTAACTAGACTACCTATGTAACAGAAATTGGAAAAGTGGTGTTATGGAATTAGTATAAACTTTTTCCAAGACCTACTTTTTTGTACAAAGTTTTTAATTTGTGGCCAGCAGAACCATAGTACTAGGAATTTGGTACAAATTCCTTCCCAACTGTTCTTGGCGGAGGCTAACATAGCACTTAGAGTCTTTCCTGTAACCGGAGCTGGTGCTTGGTTACTTAGTTTTGTTTTATGTTTTATATTTTGTTTTAAGTATCAGTTAATACTTAGTTTTGTTTTATGTTTTGTTTTAAGTATCAGTTGATACTTAGTTTGTTTTATATTTTGTTTTAAGTATCAGTTGATACTTGGTTATTTTTATGTTTCATTTGTGCAGGAACGTGAGTGAGAATCCATAATCAGACTTAAGGACATGTATTTGAAAGACTACTGATTTCCACGATAGAAACAGTAGACTTTGACAGATAGTATTCTAATATACTCAGTTGAACAGTTATCTTTATTTTCCTATTACACTACTGAAGCCTCCCTTAGTCAGCCGGTAGTCATTAGTTTCTAGCAGATTAGCACTCTGCTCCTATTGTACCTGATAGTATAACTAGCACCCTAGCATAAATACATTACATTTCCCATGATATATTACATGCAACAATGTGCATACCAATTAGGCAATGATTGACCACAATCGATACCATACATAGTACGGTATCATATCACTGGTATGGACCATCTTGAGACCTCAAGAATTGCTATTACTCAATCTATTAAATAGGTAAAATATTGTAGTTTAATTTAATCTCTTGTTCATCTACTCAAGACCAGGATAATATAATCTTGTTACTCTTATTACCTCTAGAAATTGATGGTTCATATCGAAAATACTGATTTTTTTAATTATATAATACTATGTTAGAAAGAAAATATAACTGTCAAAGAGAAGAAAACAACTAAAAGTAAACTTTAACCCATTCCTTCCTCATATCTCAATTTCTAACATCAATCCTCTTTTGAATAATAATTTCCTATTCTATCTACTTTCTTATTATCTCTTGATAGCTTACTTAATTATTTCATCCTCCTTCACCAATATAAATCTTATAAACTTTATAATAAAACTTCAGGATACACAATACTCTAAGCAGTATGTCCATGATCTGCAAGCTGTAAAACTATTAAACTGTAAAGAGTAGTAACTTGAGAAAGTACAACATAAAGTTGTCTATGGGTAAAGACTGGCTTATGTAGATAAATTCCAACTACATCCAGTAATTGTCCTTGAGTCTTATTTACTGTTATAATAAATGATATATGAATTGGAAATTGTTTATGGGTAAGTATGAAAGGCAGTTTATCTTCAGTTGTTGAAAGAGTAACATAAGAGATAATCTGAACTGCTCCATCAAAATCACCTCCTAATATTTGTATCTCAATACGCTATCTTTCTAATCTAGTAATAGTTATTCGTATTCTATTACAGAGACCTCTTTTTAGATAAAGATTGCATAGCAAAATAACTGGTAAATTAACTTTAAGTTTAAGTTTTGATGGTAGAAGTGAGGCAAGGTTAAGGCTTTGAAGGTACTCAACTAATAATATATTTCCACCTTCATCACTACCAATACTCTCTGTATAGTCAATTGAAAAGTATTCACACTAGGATCTAGGAATTCCTTGTAGTACCTTCTCCTTGATTGAAGATGCTGAGTCATTCTGCATTACTAAAATTGCACTTTATGTAAAGGTAGTAGAGTTGTGATGAGCTGCCTGTAAGAGCTCTTATGGAAACTCATGTATATACAGTTCATCTAATATATTACATCCTGAAATAAACTCTGAAAGAGAAATAGTACCTTAACACTCAGGTAAGTAGGACATAGTAGAATAAACTCTGGAAGAGAGATAGTACCTTGACACTCAGGTGAGTAGAATATATAAAATAACCAAGTTGCAAAATCTTGATCATCATTTCCGTTGCTGACCTGTATATTTTAATATAATAAAAGGATTTTCAACTTAGGCCAAATAAATAACCTTCTCAACCAGGCCTCTACTGTAGTACCTCAATTACCCTTTTAAACCATAGGAAGAATTTGTGCCAAGTCTCCTCCTAAAACAATTAAGATATTACCAAATAAACAATTTTCTCCTATACTAAAAATGTCATTCAGCATATGACTGACAGCTTCAAAGCAGTATTTGAGTTGCATAGGAACTTCATCCCAAATGATCAAGAATGTTTCCTTAATTAATGTAGCAAGTAAGGAATTCTGAGAAATAGCACATGTAGAGAATTCATTTATTATAACAGGTATTTTAAACCTAGAGTATGATGTTCTTCCACCAAGTAATAGTAATGATGCTATACCTGAGGAAGCTATATGGGCAACTATCTTCCTGTGAGAATAAAAGTAGTTGTATAAAATCTTATACAAAAAGGTTTTACCTATACCAGCGGGACCATGTAAAAAGTAAGTTGAGGTTAATTCAACTGTAATGGAATATAAAATTAATGAATAGGCATTATATTGATCTTCATTAAGCTGTACAGGAATATAATTACATTGGAAAATCTCCTGTATTGGATCATAATTCAGTTTTGTTACTATCAACTGATTACCTGCAGTTCTATTCCAATTATGTTCATAACTTGTTAGTCTAAAGTCATGTAATTTCTTTCCTGACTATAATAATTTGAGAGATAAGGGAAAGGCTATAATCAAAATGCAGAGAAGGTAGATTTTGAGGAGTAATTAGAAGAGAAGTATGCTCTAATGTATATATCAGATCATCATAAATGCTTGAACGAAACTGCACCTACAGGTTTTGAGGATTTGTAATAGAACCTAAAAGCAAACCTGTTGTAAACAGAATTCTTAAAAATCTGCTACTTGCAAAATGAATTGCTTCATTGAAGCACTATATCCATCAGCAAAAAAAGATGCTTGCGTCCTGTGCGTCCTGTGCGTCAGACGCACAGGACGCACAGGACGCAAACCCTTACTCAGGACGCGACGCTGCGGCGCCCTGGCGCCCGAACTCCCCGCTTTCTCGTTGCCGCTCCCTGCTCCTATCTGGACGTCGCTCCCAACGCCCGCTACGTCCGGACTGTCTATGCCGCACCCCCTCATCGTCCCAATCCCCCAGCACCTGACCACATCACGCTGTAACTACCTAACTCCTCCGGTTCTCCATCCTGATCCCAATTACTGAATCCTCCCGTCTCGTAACTCGGTTAACTGCACGCCTCACCATCGGGACTCAATGCCCCATTACCTTGACAACTCTGGGCAGTTCTGGTATGTTCGTCCTTCTATGTGGACGTCTACATAGCACTCTTGGTTGATCAGGATATCATGGTATCTGGTTCCAAAATCCTGACACCCCGTGAATATTTCGTCTGTGATCTGGACCATGCCCGGCCCCCATTTCGCTCTGGTGTCGTCTTCTCCACGCGCACCTCCGGATTGATACATTTTTCTCACAATTTCTACCATTGGGCCTGGTTCTGCTTTCATCACCTTTGGCTCTTTTACAGTGCATGATTGCGTCGTGAACTTCAAGTTTCGTACAAGTAGCTACATGACGTGTATGGAGTTCAGCATCACGTCATCTCTCTGCAATTTATTCCCTTATTACATGTATTCCTCCCCCTCACCAATTCTCCTAAAATACCCTCTCCCCCTCGTCAATTCTCCTGAAGTACCTCCTCCCCCCCCCCTTGGGACGTCCCCACCCTTCCCTCACACACCCAATGCTGCATAATCACAACTGCCCGACAGTCCTACGGGTGCCTCTTTCGTGCCTTGTGAATTGCCGAAACTCAACGAGAGTCGTGACACCTGAGATGATCTGTCAATGCCGCACTCTAGGGTATCATCCTGGCTGCTTGAGTCACAATGTCGGAACGCTAGCGCTGGGCTCCCCGATGTCTGACCAAAATCAGATGTCACATCAGTGTCCTGCGATAGATTCTGGCTATCTCCGCCTACCAGTCGTGATATCATGAGTGATTCAGGCGCGGTGTAGATCTGCCGGTGGGACTACCGGTGCGATTGCCTGGATTCCCGGTTCTCCAGTTCTGCCGTAAGAGCATCCCAGTCATCATCGTAGCCTTCCCGTCGATCTTCCTGGACGCCATATTGTTGCTCGACCTTTTGGGTGATAGTCTGCCAGATTCCTGTGAGAATCCTGTCCTGTACCCACGCCGGAGATTTCCACCACGTTCGAATCTGCCTCGCAAAGAGGTCTTGCGCGAGAGCGATATGTTAGTCGGATTGGTGTCGAACGCAGCTTGAAGAGTTTCGGGAGCATCTTACCTCCTACCACATCAGGCTTGAAGTCCCTCGGTTCCACGTATGCCCCCGTCTGCCACGCCCTAAGTCTATGGTAGATTATAGCACAAGTCAAACACACCATAGTGCCATTGATCTCCGTTATAAAGTCGGGTTCTAGAATACCTCGCATTTGCTTTCCCGCGAAATACTTGCCATAGATAGCATCGGTGATCTGAGGTGCAAGGAATCTGAAACTGAGATTCTGTGCACAGTTTAGTCTGAGTTAGCAAGAATCTAAGGTCTACCAATTCTGCTGCCAGTGAGCAACCTCGTACCGGACCAGGTCGCACATAAACCGATCCCCTTCTAAGAGATACTCAACCCTGCGCTAGACAGCTGCAGGGTCCTGGGGCAGTTCGTATAACTTCACAATGTTATGCTTCAGATGGTAGACGTATTGTGACCTTACCCCAGAGTGTTTTTGTCGTATCTATCTCTGTTAACAATCTGCAGAGCATCCGGTCATTGATTGCTAACTTGCTAGGTTCAAAATATGCTCTGCTGGCTCAATATCGGCAGGCACTGACGTCTTATCCAGCGCCTCACACCAAACGCTATGTATCTTGGCCGTCAAAGCAACCACATTTGACAGTGGGTCAACAAAAAGGGTGTAATGGAGAATCAAAGTCTTGGCCATTTCTAGTATCGGACGTTCAGGTCCGGTCTCAAAATTCCTGTGCGTGGGATTTACGCCCTGGTTCCCCCCCCGTTGAGGTGTACCTGGATCAACTGCTGGGCTGGAACTTCTGATAACAGATGAGCTTGCCCGTCTACTGTCTGCTGGAGATGAATCACAAGCTGAACTTGATGATGGAAGGATCGCAGGACTGTACGCCCCGCCCCGAATTATGCGACTTTGAAGCACTGGCATTTGCCAGGTAGGCACGATGTCCTGTGATCCTGACATAGTTGAGATCCGAACGGTTTTCGTGCGTTCTTGCCCCTGTCTCTTCCCAGATTGTGCTCCCCGAGCCCGCCCTGGTGTGGTGCCATCAGCAATCTCAATATCTTCCGGATCAGGTCCGATGTCTGGTTTGGATTCCTCAGATACTGGGGTATTTTGGTACTCATCACTGCTATCGTCAGATACCTGTACAGGTTCTGTACCGAGTGGTGCGTCGTGTTCGGTTTCGAGTTCTGTATGTGCCGTGGTCTGTGATGTGTTCTTCCGGGAACGCTTTGGTGGTCTTGCTGCTTGGCTTGCAATTGGCGATGGAGAAGAACCCGGACGTGATAAACGCTCGCTCGGTCGTGTGCTCGGTGAGCTGTGTGTTTCATTTTATTGGGTAGCCGGTCTCGATTTTTTGAATGCCGTCGTCCCAGATCTGGCACTGTGTCTGAGTCTATTCGGATTGCCTGCTCGGGAGTTTGGCTGACTGCGGGAGTGGGCCTGAGAATCCTTTTGCCTGATGTAATTGTACTTACCTGCAGTATCTTGCACCAAAGTTGGGATTCAAAGTGTAGGAAAGTGGTATTCTGGGTATGGATAAGAGTAGGTAGGCGTAGAAACCTCTTGCGTCCAACAACGTGCCGGTTCTTCTACCAAAACATTACATTTAAGGGGGTTGGGAAGCACATGGTATCACTCGGTATTGGAGGCAAAGAATCAAGTACGAAAATGCGTTTTCTGAACTTTCTCCAGACTCTCCACGTCCTCGAATCACACTGGCAGCCTGATGAGATGGCTGTGGAAATAAACAGGGTGCTACCGCTACGGGTTGGCGTCCATCTAGCCACAAACGGTGTTGTGTAGCGACGTGGATTTTTTAGTAAAACTGCCCATGTCTAAAAGGGATTGGTTGAATCTAACCTTACCTCCGGATACTGAATCCACAAGGCCGGGCGGCTGGGAGGATTCCATCATGAAAACCAATCACAGGAGCGCTCCAGAGGCAAACTCTTGACGCCAAGCTAGAATGGCGATAGTGGGCACCACAGGAACAAAATTAAGCTAAAATTTTGATTTCTAGCTAACTAACTAAGAATACAAGGGCTAACTAATAATACAAGCCCACGCAAGGGGTCAAAGGAAACCTGGACGCCAAAAGAAATGAGGTCTAACGATACAGAATGCCGAAGCAAGAAAAGAGGATTAAGAATATGTACAAGATGCAAAAATGGAAAGGAGAAAAAGGGGCTGGAAGCAAGGTAAAAATAATAGTAAAAAAAAGCAAGGGGGAGAAAGAACTCACCAAAAACCAAAGCAAAGAAAAAAACCCCAAAGAGACGAAAGAAAGATCAGGCGTCGGTATTGCGACGTGCTCCGCTGCGGAGCGAACGCGTCGGGGTCTGGACTTCGGATTCGTTACAACAAGTCGTATTTTCCCTTACCTGGGTGGAGGGAGAGGGCAGGGAGAATGTGTCGCGGGCACTGGGGCTGTCCATTGCCCCATCAAGCCTGCTGGTGCTGCGCCGAGTCGCCCGGGAGCCACCAGCTGTCCTGGATCTCGGTCGTAGGAGGGCAGCCGGAGGTCATGGAGGGGGCGCCGGTGTTTGTGGGGGGGGAGCTGGAGGTTGTGGGTGGGGAGCTGGAGGTTGTGGGGGGGGGCGCCGGAGGTTGTGGGGGGGTGAGGGGAGGTTGCGGCTTTTGGATGAACTCAGCCATCCATGGCCGGTCCTTCAGCAGCGCCTCCAGGGACTTCCGTTTCTCCTCCTGGGAGGGCTCCAGCACCGACACCTTTCTCGGGGAGGAGGGATTCCAGGTTGTCGGTCTTCAGGGCTCTAGCGTTGAGGGAGGGGGGGCATGGGAGGGGCCGGCAGACAGGGAAACCCTGGACTGCGGCGGGACCGGGGGGGAGTATACTTACTCCCGGATCCCCGGGAGCTGCTATGTCCATCCTATATATGATTCGCGATTGACTCTCTAGTAACCGAGAGAAGTTAGGTGCTGAACTTACCTCAGGGTGATCGTCCTCGATGACGATGGCCCTCCCCGCTGGGGGCACAACAACCAGAGCATCATCCACCGCCTCATCCTCCTCCTCCTCGTCCTCGTCCTCGTCCTCGTCCTCCTCCTCCTCCTCCGGGACCTCCGCCTGCACCGAGCGGTTCCAGACATCCCAGGAGAAAAAGGGATGTCTGCCGTGGGCAGGCTCAGGCGTCTGGTTGCGGTCGTCTCCCTCGTCCTGACGGGACTCCAGCAC